ACCATGATTTTAGACTTTTTAAAATCTCATTTTTCTTTTGTCAATTTTTGCCTCGTGTTTTGAAACTGTTATTTAAGTACATATACATTTGTAGTTGCTATATTTTCCTCATGTATTTACTCTTTTATTATCAGGAAATGTTCTTTTATGTCTGTAGTGGTAATACTCCTCAGCTTCTTTTACTATAGCCCCATCAGCTTTCCCATGTTTAATGTTTTTATGGTTTTTTCCCATCCTTTTATTTTAAACCTATTTGTGTCTATGTTATTTAAAGTATGTCTCAGAAGACATACTTTTGAAGACAGAATATATTTCGAGTCTTGGTTTTTTACACATTTTAATAATCTGTCTTTTTGTTGGAGTGTTTAGTCCTGTTGTAGTTAGGGCTGCCATTTCACTCTTTGTTTTCTGATTACCTAACCTGTTTTATTTTAATCTTTTAACCATACTTTATATTTTAGTGGTTTTAGGTTCAGACAAAATTAAGCAGAAAGTACAGAGAGTTTCCATTTATGCCCTTACCCCTTGACACATGCATAGCTTTCCCTACTATCAATATCTTACACCAGAGTGGTATGTTGTTAAAATCAATGAACCTACAATGATATATCATTATCATCCAAAGTCCATAGTTTACATTAGGGTTCATTCTTGGTGTTACATATTCTATGGATTTTGACAAATATATAGTGACATGTATCTACCATTATAGTATTATACAGACTAATTTCACTGCTCTAAAAATCCTCTGTGCTCTGCCTATTCATCTCTCCCTCTCCTCTATAATATGTGGCAGTGGCAACCACTGATTTTTTTTAATTTTTTTTTTATTTTATTTTAATTTTTGGCTGCATTGGGTCTTCGTTGCTGAGCTCAGGCTTTCTCTAGTTGCAGCAAGCAGGGGCAACTCTTTGTTGCGGTGCGTGGGCTTATCATTGCGGTGGCTTCTCTTGTTGCAGAGCACAGGCTCTAGGTGCGTGGGCTTCAGTAGTTGTGGTGCACGGGCTTAGTTGCTGCACGGCATGTGCGATCTTCCCAGACCAGGGCTCGAACCCATGTCCCCTGCATTGGCAGGTGGATTCTTAACCGCTGCACCACCAGGGAAGTCCCACCACTGATCTATCATCTCCATAGTTTTGCCTTTTCCAGAATGTTATATAGTTAAAATCGTATATTATGTAGCCTTTTCAGATTGGGCTTCTTACCTTTAATAATATGCATTTAAAATTACTCCTGGGCTTCCCTGGTAACGCAGTGGTTGAGAGTCCGCCTGCCGATGCAGGGGACATGGGTTCGTGTCCCGGTCCGGGAAGATCCCACATGTCATGGAGCAGCTGGGCCCATGAGCCATGGCCGCTGAGCCTGTGCTCCGCAATGGGAGTGGCCACAACAGTGAGAGGCCCGCGTACCAAAAAAAAAAAAAAAAGATTACTCCTAACCTGTTTTTGTGCATCTGTTCCTATATCCTGTTTTATTTTGTGTCAAGCAGTACATTTTCATAATTTTTATTTGTCTTTTGAGTTTGTAGTTATATCAGTTTGCATTATTTTTTTTTTTTGGTTGCTTTAGGGATTACAGTGTGCATCTTTAACTTAATCATGTTTTACTTAGAGATAGTACTGAATTACTTAAGGTAAAATATGTCAACTTGCAACATTGTATTTTCATTTATTGGCTTCCCCATGGTTTGTTTTTTTGTTCGCCATGTGTGTGATATTTATATTTGTAATAAATGGTGTTAGAATGCCTATTTTAAACCAAGGGTCTACAGCCCAGAGGCTAAAAACAGTCTGCTATGTGTTTTTGTACAGATTGTGAGTTTAAAATAGTTATACTTTAAATGTTTGAAAAACATTTGAAAAACATTTAAAACAGAATATTTCTGACCTACGTAATCAAAATATTTCTCACTTACGTAACTTTTATGAAATTTAAATCTCAGTGTCCATACATGAAGTTTTATTGAAACACAACTTTGCTCATTCATTTTATATACTGTCCATGGTTGCGTTCATACTGAAACAGCAGGAAGTGTTCACCAACCCCTGCTTGAAACACTCATGTTTTTTAAATAAGGAAGGAAATGAATATTTATAGTCTTTTATATACAATTTTTCTCAACCTCTTCATTCTTTCCTAAAGACCTTGTTTACCATCTGATGTCATTTTTACCTTCAGCCTGAAAACCTTTCTTTACCATTTTTGATAGTACAGTTTTGCTAGTGATGAATTCTCTCAGATTTCTTCTGAAAGTAGCTTTATGTTGACTTTATTTTCAATAGGTAATTTTGCTCAGTACAGAATTCTTGGTTGATGTTCTCTTTGGCTTTTAACAGTTTGATTAGGATTTACTGAGTGTGGTTTTCTTTTGTTTTTATCCTTTTGGGGTTCATTAAGCTTTTTCAATATGTAAGTTAAGTTTTGCTTACTTTGAATGTGTTAGGCCATTATTTCCTTAAAAATTATTCAGACCCTTTTTTTCTCCCTGTTTTTCTGGGACTCCAATTACACCTCTGTTGGATTACTTTGAAATTGACCCACTGCTCTCTGTGGGTCTATTCATTTTTTCTTTTTCTTTCCTTTTCTATTCAGATTGATTAATTTCTGTTGATCTAGTTATATATAGGCATACCTAATTTTATTATGCTTTTATTTCACTTTGCAGATATTTCATCTTTTACAAATTGAAGGTTTGTAGCAATGCTGAGTTTAACACAAGTCTATTGGTGCCATTTTTCCAACAGCATTTGCTCACTTCATTTCTGTCACATTGGCTATTCTTCAGTATTTCAAACTTTTTCGTTATATTTGTTATCATTTGTGATCAGTGATCTTTGATGTTAGTATTGCAAAAAGATTACAACTCACTAAAAGCTCTGGTGATGATTAGCACATTTTAGCCATAAAGTATTTTTTAATTAAGGCATGTTCATTGTTTTTTAGACATAATGTCATTGCATTTAATAGACTACAGTAGAATGTAAATGTAACTTTTATATGCACTGGGTAACCAAAAAATTCATGCGACTCACTTTATTGCAATAATCGTTTTATTACAGTGGTCTAAAACTGAATCTGCAATATCTCTGAGGTATGCCTGTATTTACAAGGTTACTGATTGCTCCTTTTTCTATTTCTAGTCTGCTACCTACATAGTGAAATTTTCATTTCAGTTACTGTACTCTAGAATTTTCACTTCGTGCTTTTTTAGCAGTTTGTGTTTCAAGATTCCATGCCAGGTTTTTCATTACTTCTTTAGATACATTTAGAACAGCTGTTTTGAAGCCTTTGGGGCAAAATCCAATACCTGGGTCCACTAGGAATTAGTTTCCATGAACTTTTTCTGAATATGGGTCATATTCCCTCTCTTCTTTTTCTGATTTGTTTTGTTTACATGTCTAATTTTTGCTAGAAACCAGAACGTCATGAGTAATATAGTAATCTGAATTCTGTATGTCTGTTTTTCTGAGGATTATTGTTTTTTGTTGTTCTAGCAGACGATTAACTTGCTTGGAATCAAACTTCAAACTCTGCCCTCCCTGCCCCTCCACCTCCACCCCAAGTGTGAAGCAGCTGATAGCTAGGTCCCTTAAGCTCCCACCTGCTGCTTTTTACCCTGGTCCCATGATGGGAGGTAGATTTCCACTGTGTTCATGTACTTTAGCTCTCAAAGAATTTGGTATATATTTATACTTAGATTTGGGGCCTGACTTTCTACATTCTCTTTCTTTCAGTGTTTCACCCCTTATACTTCCTGCTGCTTTTTGTTAACTCCAGCTTCTGACACCTCAGTCCATTAAGGCTTCAGTTTTCTTCTGCTTAAGCTATGAGCAGGTTGTGGAATGCTGTTAATCAAAAATGCAGAAATCTCCAAATCTCACTAGGTACACTTCTGTTTTTCAAAACTCTTTCCTGGTGTCTTTCTGTTTGCTCTTTTTTAAGCCTCCTGTTATCTCTCTAACAATTGTTTAGTTTAACTATCAACCTGGAGTTATGGCAGAGTTTATACTCAGATTTGGGGTCTCATTTTTCCTGTAGTTCTCTCACTTCCAGAATTTATCGCTAAATCTCCAGCTCACCTGCCAGCCCTCAATTCTGTCCCCTGTCACCTTTGAGGAAGCTCTTCACCTGAAGAGCTATGGGCTTTGGGGTACCTTCATGCAAAAAAGCCACAAACTGGGCTTCCCTGGTGGCGCAGTGGTTGAGAGTCCACCTGCCGATGCAGGGGACATGGGTTCATGCCCCGGTCTGGGAAGATCCCACATGCCGCGGAGCGGCTGGGCCCATGAGCCATGGCCGCTGAGCCTGCGCGTCCGGAGCCTGTGCTCTGCAACAGGAGAGGCCACAACAGTGAGAGGCCCACGTAACGCAGAAAGAAAAAAAAAAGCCACAAACCTAACAATTCTTACTCATTGCTGCCTTTTAAGGATAAACTCTCCTCCAATTTTTGCTTGACCAATTCACTCTATTATTACTGGATGCCCAAAGTCACTCCCATGCATTTTAAAACTATATTCTTCCTGCATAACACATTAATCTTGAAAAGGAAAAAATTTACCTCCTCAGTGAAGCCTGAAAAATTGTTCTGCCCTTGTAATACATTGTTATCTTGTACATACTTCTGTTACAGTACCCATAACACCTTCTTGTAGATTTGTGTTGACACATACTTTCTTGAAGGTATGTGTTACATGCTTTGAGGTTGTAACTTCTTGTGAACAGGGACAGCATTTTGTATATCTTGGCACCCTGGTAAACGAGTCCAATTTGGGGTTACAAAGTGACTTCACAATAAACATTTTTAGAATGAGTTATTAAATAAATTTGGTGGCGAGTACTTCTACCTTGATTTTTGTTTCCCTTACTATTTAAATCACAAAACAAGAAAAATGGTAGGCATTCTTTACAAGTTTTCATAAGAATGCCACAAAGGAACAGGATCAAAACTAGTCTCCAATTTCTCGTCAATTTGTTCTGATCACAGTCCCAAACCATTACAGGGATCAGTGTCATTCAAAGATGTGACTGTGGACTTTAGTCAGGAGGAGTGGCAGCACCTGGATCCTGCTCAGAAGATGCTATACATGGATGTGATGTTGGAAAACTATTGCCACCTCGTTTCTGTGGGTAAGAAAAACTCTCTTTGAAACTTTCAGTAGCATGCATTTCCTTTCAAGATGCCTAAAATATGTGTGATCTTGATTTCAGGGATAAGAGGTGATGCATTCTTTTTGGTTGACAGAAAGGATTATTGTGTCTTCACTTGCATAGTGCAAGGTGTTAAATTTACTGTTACACAAAGGAGTATCTTAATTTGCAGTACTGAAAATTCACCTTATTGACTTTTCAAAGGTATTGACGCCTAAGTAACTTAATCCAAATCTTCCCTTAATCAGGGTGTCACATGACCAAGCCTGACGTGATCCTCAAGTTGGAACGAGGAGAAGAGCCATGGACATCATTTACAGGTCATACCTGTTTAGGTGAGTTTCTGACTTGCAGGCAGATGAAATCTGTGGAAAATAAATTTAAAGTGGTCATGTGTTGGGTGACACCTTTGAAATATTTTGGTAGTGTCTTTTTAAAGGTTCCTAACTGTTGAAATGACTATTGTGCCTGCAAAAAAATTAAATCACTTTCAAATGTCACTCTCCCTATATAATAGACTTCCTTAGTTTGCTTGGTGTTATCAAAGATAGTTGCCACTCTTAATCAAAATTAAGCCTTCCTTCTTTTAGATCTCTTTCCTTCCTTCTTATAGATCTTTTTTCTTGATTTGTATCCTTTTTTAGCTTTCTTGGTCCCTTATCTTTTAGCCATTGAATAGATTTCTTTTAGGCATTTTTAAATCTATCTTTAAGAAAGAAAAAATTCTTGGCTAATATTTCTCTTCTTAGTTGCTTTTTCTTTCCCTTTCTTTTATAGTATTTCAGATTTGTTTGCTATGCTAACTCTAAGTTCCCATTCTCACCATGAGTCTAGCTATTAATTTTAAAGCTCACTCACCTTGGCCCAGACTGATAATTCCATAGTTACCATTTTCTTCCATTAAACTTTCATGGTTCATTGTTATATGGCTGATCATCTTTCCTGAAATCATCCCTTGGTTTGGGTAAAACACTGAATCATTCTTATCCTGATTATCTAAGTGATTATTTATTTCCAGCTTACTCTGTTTTTTTTTTTACCACTCTGGCCATATTGACTGGAACAGTGCCTCATACATAATAGTCACAGAACTTTTTTTTTTTTTTAAAGGTATATTTCATTGGACTCTCAGTCTTATTTCTCTAATTTGTCCTCAAGAGATCTACCTTTCAATTATATTAGTCTCATCCACTCTCAGAACTTAAGCTCCTTGTTTTATGTGGAGAACCTCTAATACCAACATACTCGGCACAGTCCTCCCACCTTCACTCCAGTCCTTCACAAGTTCTGCACTATGATGCCTCACCTCTTTTGTGACAATAAGTTGAAAATGAAAATCACCAACTTTCCTAGCTCCTAAATTCGTTCCCATTTAACTATTTCCAAATTATTTTATTACTGCCATGATACCAGCTTGATTGTCTCTGTCATAATCTCTTGTGGATCTCTTCACAATTTGTGTTTATCAGCCCGTGAAATATATTTACATCCTCCCATATTTTCATTTTTTACTCACATCATACAAAATGACGACTACCTTATTTAATGTCTTGCATACGGTAATTACAATTTGTTTTTGCCATAATTTTTGTCCTAATTTTTTCAATTTATATTGTTAACTTTCCTGACAAGCTATATCATCACTTGTTCCCCACTACTTATTATTATAGGAAATTGAAATTCTCCTTCATACAAGGACTACTATAATAAGCCCTCATCTGGTCTTTTCAACTTTATTTCTCTCTTTTGTGGAAAATGCTTGCTAATTTCCACTTCATCTAGTCTCCTAAATGTTCTCTATACATGTAGGGTCTGTCATGATATCTGTACTTTTCATTGTGTTCACCCTTCTGTATAGTGTATATCTTTGAAGACTTGAGATTTCTTCTCCTTTCTATTCCTTGACTACTCCCCAACATATTCACCTTTCCTTTTCCTGAATTTCCATGCTGCTTACTAACTGTAACATACACAGCTCTTGGATGTTATATAATTTGATACTTGATTGTACATTGTTTATGCTTAAGGATTCTTTCTTTCAAAGATAAGATCCTCTGTATCTTCTTTGCTATAGTATACAACATTTTAAGTAGTCAGTAGTTTGCTTCATTTTCTGTTTATGGAGCTGTACAGGGGAGATCTCTTTTTCCTCCATTCATAAAGTATGTACTGATAAGTCCTTTCAGAAGTACTTGCTCAGGCCATGGTTCTGTACATTCTGATTCAAATGGTTGGATTCTAACAAACACTACCTATCTATGATATGCAGTGTTAATGAACTCAGAAGAGTACAAAGGCGATAACCAACAAAGTATTCCTTTATGAGAAAGGATTACTGTTAAAGTCTGCATTTTTCATGAAATATTTATGACACAGTGTAAGCTTGTAAAAAGATTTGTTAAAATTCTTTTTCTAGACCATAATTATTTTCAAGTTATAAAGAAGTAATAAATAAAGTGGTGGTGGGATATATGTGAAGGGTTTTGATATCATGGAGTAGTAACATTTTCTTGAAGATTATCTAAATATGATTAGAAATAAGACTGGAAGGCAAGTCAACTGATTAAAAGAACATGAGCAAAAGCATGTGATTAGGGATAAGGGAGGTATTTATAGGGCAGTAAATATTAGGCTTTGATTGTTATGGGTGAAATTTTTCAGATATGTGGACAACCCTGAAAACTTGTTTGAATATAAAAAGTAAGTCTAGGTAATGTAAAGTTTTGTTTACAGGAGAAATTCCTTGTATGTTAGTGTTGTGGGTAATGGACTCAAGGAAGAAATAGATTTTTGAACCTAGATTTAACATTGTTTCTCTAGATGTGGATGATTGCAAAGCAAAAGAGTCAAATATAGTTCTAAATTTATAAGAGAAATAAAGGTTAAGATTAATGAGTGATTTAGAGCCAGAGTGAACAATCTTTCTGGTCCCCCATATGGAAAACTGGAGTTAAGAATGTTACTGTATTGGGGAAAGACTTGAATCTTTCTTTAAACCTCTAAGTTAGCACTTAAAAAGAAGAATAGTTATAATTAATGATCATGAGAGTTTTGTTATTGAACAATTCTGAAAGAAAATAATAACAACAGCAACCTGAATACACTAGTGAACATACCCCTAGTCTGTTTTAAAGTTCCTGTTGGAAGTGTTTTCCTAGTATTTCCCTCACAAGAAAAAATGATCCCCAGCTATATAGAGGATTATAAACACTAGGAAAATAGTTGATGCTTAGAAAGATTTATTGGTGGGTGTGTGGAAAGAGGGTGGTGGAACAACTGGAAATATTTTACCTTACAGTCTAGGGATGAATATTTAAAAGTATAGGCTCAGGGGGATTCCCTGGTGATCCAGTGGTTAGGAATCCACACTTCCGCTGCAGGGTGCACAGGTTCAGTCCCTGGTCAGGGAACTAAGATCGCACATGCCACGTGGTGCGGCATAAAGAAATAAAGAAATAAAAGTATAGGCTCTGATCTGTGTCCTCCAAATGCCTTCCTCTAAAATTTTCCCTGAACAAACTTTTCTGCTAATTTTTCTTGTTCATCCTACTTAAATCTTAATGCTCTTGAAAGGTTCACTTCATTGCCTCTGAATCCACCTATCCAAGCATGAATTCCTCTTCCACTATTCTTTTGTCTCTTCTCCTTACTGCTTCATGTGTTTGTTTCACTTTCTGTATGAAGTTCTGGTGCAAAATGCAAATGTTACTAGTGTTCATTACTTATTTTTCATCTTTTTCCACACTGAGGCAGAGTTTTTAATTTAGGTTCCATGTCTTTTCCCAGGCAAGGAATAATTTGTCCTTGGTCTTTTTTGGCCTTATGTACTAGACCCTACTACAATTCCTTTCGATAGCAAATATGTGAAGATTCACAAATTGTTATTAATTATATTCTTTCCTAGAAGAAAAGTGGAAAGCTGAAGACTTTTTAGTGAAATTCAAGGAACAACAAGATAAATTTTCTAGATCAGTTGTATTAATCAACCACAAAAAACTGATTAAGGAGAACAGTAGTGCATATGAAAAGACATTTACTTTAAGCAAAAACCCTATTAATTCAAAAAACCTACCTCCTGAATATGACACTCATGGAAAGATTTTTAAAAATGTTTCAGAATTAATCATCAGTAATCTAAGTCCTACAAGAAAGAGACTTAGTGAGCATAATGGATATGGGAAATCACTCCTCAATACTAAGCCAGAGACAGCTCACTCTGGAGGCAAATCCCATAATCAGTGTGGTAGGGCTGTCAGTCATAATGAAATGATTATGCAATATCATGAGATAGAAACTTCAGCACAGTCATTTGGATATAATGACTGTGAGAAATCCTTCCTTAAAAAAGGAGGCCTAATTACACATAATAGAGCTTACAGAAGGGAAAAACCATCTGAATATAATAAAAGGAGAAGAACAACCAATATTGAAAAAAAGCATATATGCACTGAATGTGGGAAGTCCTTCTGCAGGAAATCAGTATTGATTCTGCATCAGGGAATTCACACAGAGGAAAAACCCTACCAATGTCATCAATGTGGAAATTCATTTAGAAGGAAATCATATCTCATTGATCATCAGAGAACTCACACTGGAGAGAAACCCTTTGTTTGTAATGAATGTGGTAAGTCCTTCCGCCTAAAGACAGCCCTCACTGATCATCAGAGAACACATACAGGGGAGAAATCATATGAATGTCCACAATGTAGGAATGCCTTCAGATTGAAGTCACACCTCATTCGTCATCAAAGAACTCACACAGGAGAGAAACCATATGAATGTAATGACTGTGGGAAGTCTTTCCGCCAGAAGACAACACTCTCCCTACATCAGAGAATTCATACAGGAGAGAAACCCTATATTTGTAAAGAATGTGGGAAGTCCTTTCACCAGAAGGCAAATCTTACTGTACATCAGAGAACTCATACAGGGGAAAAGCCCTATATTTGTAATGAATGTGGGAAATCCTTCTCTCAGAAGACAACCCTCGCTCTTCATGAGAAAACTCATAATGAAGAGAAACCTTATATTTGTAATGAGTGTGGAAAATCCTTCCGCCAGAAAACAACCCTTGTGGCACATCAGAGAACACATACAGGGGAAAAATCCTATGAATGTCCTCACTGTGGGAAGGCTTTTAGAATGAAGTCATACCTCATTGATCATCACAGAACTCACACAGGAGAGAAACCATATGAATGTAATGAATGTGGGAAATCCTTCAGTCAGAAGACAAATCTCAATCTACATCAGAGAATTCATACAGGAGAGAAACCCTATATTTGTAATGAGTGTGGGAAGTCTTTTCGCCAGAAAGCAACCCTCACTGTACATCAGAAAATACATACAGGGCAGAAATCCTATGAATGCCCTCAGTGTGGGAAAGCCTTTAGCAGGAAGTCATATCTCATTCATCATCAAAGAACTCATACAGGAGAGAAACCATACAAGTGTAATGAATGTGGGAAGTGCTTCCGCCAGAAGACAAATCTCATTGTACATCAGAGAACTCATACAGGGGAGAAGCCTTATATTTGTAATGAGTGTGGTAAGTCCTTCAGTTATAAGAGAAACCTTATTGTCCATCAAAGAACTCACAAGGGAGAAAACATGGTAATGCAGTAATAAATGATGTGATTTCTTTGTGAAGCCTTTCTAAGTTATTGTAAAACTTTAGTTTTTTAAAAAAGCATGCTTAACGTGTGAATAAGGTAATTTTAATCACAAATGTAATAATAATTAACTTAATGTACTATACCACATAACTATTTATCTACTGTTTACTAGCATATGAAATGGATATGATCGTTGATATGAACTCTTATCAGCAATGAAGCTAATTTTTTACGTTTTCAAGTTCTCCTGCTGACTCAGTTTATTTTTTTTAATTCTTATATAATACATGCAGAAGCAAGATACAAAGTGGTTTTAAGTATCAGTCTCCATAAGAGGAAGAAATTATGAAGTATATTTCTCATTGCACTCTGTGGAATAAAAGTTGTTACTTCCCCAAAGATTACCACTTCCCTGGCTTTTAACATGAAATAGTTTTTGCATGTCTTTAAACTTTATATTTTATTATACATTACAAATTTTTTGTCTTGTTTCACTCAACATTTTAAAGATTCATACATTATTGCATGTGGCAGTAGTGTATTCATTTTCATTCTGTATACTCTTCCATTTTAAGAATATACTGCTATTTATCTATCCTCTTGATGGATATTTGTATTTTTTATAATTTTGTGTTGTAATAAAAATACTACTATAAATATTCTTGTATATGTGTGTGTGTGTATTTCTGTTGATTTTATATGAAGACTGGGATTACTCAGTCCCAGGGTGTATGTAAAGTTTGTTCAGTTATGTTAGATACTGCCAAACATCTTTCAGACCTTTCTCAATGTGAGATGATTCAATTTGGAGAGTAACAGCTCTGTAATTCAAGTGGAGAAATGTCATTCAACTGGAGAATTCCTACTAAAAAGAAATCTTTATAATATTATAATTGTGAGAAGGCTGTTAGTCATGAATATATAAATGTAATAAATGTAGAAAGACCTTAGCTGTGGCTTAAACCTTACACAAAATCAGAGAATTCATATTGGAGGGCATCCTACAGTTGTCATGATTATAGGGGTACTTTTAGCAATAGCTTATGTCTTAGTCACCATCAAAGAATTTATACTAAAGAAAGGTTAAGAAGGAACATAGATGAATAAAATTTGGGAGTATAGGAGTCTATTCCCTTTAATAGAATTATGAAAAAAATATATAAGTAAGCCTATGTATAATATAATAAGCCTATGTAAAGTAAGCCTTTTATACCTTGATTTATCTCACAGGAAATGTGGGTCTCGAAAATCCCAAATGAAAAATCACTGGAGATTTTGATGTGTGAGAGTCAGAAATCTAAGATAATACCATCTATAGCATCTTTTGAAAATAGTAAGCTCAACAGCAATTTGAACAGTGTTACTAAAGGCCCTTCTTGAGGGGGATTATTCATAACCAATATTCATAACCATACATGAAGTTATTGTAATAAAATTCAGTAGAAATTTAAATAAACTGTTTTTCCCCCCAATTCAGTAGAACTGTAAACTGTATCTAAGTAAGTAGGAAAATAATTGATAGTTCAAGTATCTGACATTAAAAATGTACAACAGGCCGTCTGGCCTATAGAAAGGGGCACCAACTGCCAGTGGATTGTAAATGGAAACATGCTTGTCATTCCTGGTCTTGCAGATGATTTCAGAGCAGAAAAAGAACAGTGGGTGATGAAGCAAATCAGACATGATAAAAATTTAGACTTGAAAGGGACATACGATAAAAGATAAAATGCCATGTCTGACTGGACAGAACTTTGAGAAATATAGCCTTAACTAATAGTTATTATTTATGTTTAGAGTTTTTTTTTTCTAGTGTGTAGGCAGGATGAACATATTAGAATAAAATAGCTACAACAAGTAAGATTACAGGATCTATATTCAGAGTTATGAGAACCTAGAAATTATTTCATTTGAATAAATCTGTGTTTGTAGATGAGTAAAAATATATGCTAACGATGACGACTACCAAAAGAACTGCATTCACAACCAAGGATGCAAGCCTACCTCTTTTTCCTGAGTATGTAGTGAGTTGGAAGCAAAACCCTCCACCAGCAAAAAGATTTTTGACTCACTGAAGGCTAGGATGATGGTTAGCATTTTTTAGCAATAAAGTATTTTAAAATTAAGGTATGTACATTGCTTTTTTAGACAATGCTATTGCACACTTACTGTAGACTACAGTATAGTATAAACATAACTTTTATAGTATAAACATGACACACTGGGAAACCACAAAATGCATGTGACTCACTTTATTGTGATATTTGCTTTACTGTGGTGGTCTGGAACCAAACCCACAATATATATGTGTATTATATATGTATATTAAGGCCACGTTATGACGGACAACGTATAGTTGGGGTTTTTAAGAACTTCCAGTTGGACAATGTCTTAATACTGGTTTTAAACCATTTGTATTTAATGTATATATACTGATATTGTTGGGCTTTAGCTCTAACATTCTTTCCTATGTTTCCCCTCTATTTTTAATTCCTGTTTCCCTTTCTTGCTTTCTTTTTCATTTGAATATATTTTATTATTCCATTTTAATTTATCTATTTAGCTTTTTACTATTTCTTTGTTTATTTTCTTTAGTGGTTCCTCTGGGGATTATAATACACATAATATATATAATTTACAATATACTTTGAGTTAACATTTTAGTACTGCATGTTGAATATGGAAACCTTACCACCATATTTGTCCCTTTTAGCCTCCCCTCTTTATATTATGATTATCATATTTACTATATCTACATCTATTACAAACCTCATCAGAAAGTGTTATACTCCTTGCTTTTTATCAAGTAAATATTTAAATTATTTTTAAAAACCAATAATTTTATTATTTATTCAGCAATTTGCCATTTCTGTTGCTCTTTACTTATTTCTGAAGTTTCAGGTTTTTCTTTGATATCATTTCCCTTCCATCTAAAGAGCTTCATGTAGCATTTCTTTTACAGCAAGCCTGCAAGTAACAAATCCTCTTTGTTTCCCTTTACCTAAGAATATCTTTTATTTACCCTTCATTCCTGATAATTTTCACTGGATAAAGTTTGGGGTTGACATGTCTTTCCTTAAAGCACTTAAAAAATGTTGTTCCACTATCCTTTGGCCTTCATACTTTCTAATGGGAATTAAGGGATTGTTCTCCTATATGTAATGCATCAATGTTCTCTGGAAGCTTTTGAGATTTTTTTTCTTTGATTTTCAGCAGTTTGGTTATGATGTGTCTCAGCAAAAGTTTCTTTTAGTTATCCTTTTTGTGGTATGCTATATTTCTTGAATCTGTAATTTTAAGGTATTTTACCAAACTCGGTAGGTTTTCAACCATTGATTCTTTAAATATTTTTTTCTTCATGGCACTCCATTTTGTTGCTGAGCCCATCAAGTAAGTTCTAATTTTCACTTTTTCAGTTCTAAAATTTCCTTTTATACATCTGAAAATTATATAATAAAAATTTTTAATGTTTAATTTCCTTTTGGTTCTTTTTTTATAGCTTCTTTTTGTCTGCTTAGATATTCACTCAAGAGTTCACCTTTACTTCTTGGAACATGGTTCTAATTCTAATGTGGATCATGTCAGTATTGGTGTCTTTTTCTTTTCCATTGTGAGTTTTTAAATTGTCCTGTTTGTTTGTATGTGGAGTACATTTTTATTGTTTCCTAGACATTTTGAATGATTCTCTGAGTCTAGTTTAAATCCTATGAGAAACATAATTTAGGTTTGTCTTAGCAGGCAGTTTATTTAGATTCAATATGCAAGTTCCAAACTACTTTCTGTGCCCTGGGGTTCCAATGTCAATTCAGTTTTCAAAGCATTTGAAAATTGGCATTCAGTGTGCTTTATCTTTTATGTGCTTCACCCAGTACCCACTCTGAGACCTGGTTGATGGTCCACCTGGTTCAGTTCTCAAGGCCTTTGGTATGCTGCCTAGTGTCAGATCTACACATGTGCACCCTCGAGTTCATATAATACTTTAAGGGATCCCTAACTTGAGTTGCTCCTCTCCCCTATCTCACTAGAACTCTTTAGTTCCCAGAGTCCCCCTTCCTGGATCTAGTTAGAGCAACAGGGCTTTATTTAGCCTTCCCATTCTGCTGTGGCCTTCCCACAGCTAGGTCTTCTTCCAGTGCCAATGAGTGAGAGAATAAAGAGGAAAAAAGCAATGGGATTTCCTCCACCTTCTTCAGAACAGACTTCCACTAGTAAGATAGGATTCCCTTTCCTCAGGGTTTAAGTATTTGCTGGCAGCTGCTGCTACCACCGCCTACCCAATCCAGGACTGGAGCTTTCAGGACTAGTGTTTGCCTGCAGTGAGACCAGAAAGAAAAGAAAAACAACATGGATTTCTTCCACCTTCTCTGCTCCACAAAAACCCGTTCTCCCACTCTTCCAACTATAGAGAGTTTCTTATGGAGCTCTTTCCATCCAAGTTTGGCTCGCAGTTTTGGGATTCAGGTTGTTTCAGTCCAGACCAGCACATCACCAGATCAAACTTCCAACTTCTGGTTTCCTTCTCAGTCTGTCTGCTAACATTTACTTTTCAGTTTTCTCAGCTGCCTCATCCATTCTATGATTTTAGTTGCGTTCAGTGGGAGAGGCAGGGTGGAACATGCTAACTATCTTAACTGGTACTGCTTCTTTTTTTTTTTCTTTCCTTTTAAATTCTTGAGCTTGGATGCATCTTGCTTAAAGATCTGGAAATAGAGTGCAATCATGTGGTACGATTATGTCAATTTCTGAATGGTGACTGATAGGCAAAACAAAAGTTCTGCCTCTCAAGTTATGATTTCCTCCATGTTTGGTTTCATTTTGTTAATATTTTCCTTAGAATATTTGCATTAATATTCATAAGCCCATCTAGATCTTTTAGAAACTATCTTGATCCAGTGTTTAGACTTCTAGTATGAGACTGTAAAATTCTTTTAGAGATTATCCTTAGTTTTTACCTGATATTTAAGTATTGTTTTGTGTGTGTGTATGTGTGTGTGTGTGTGTGTGTGTGTGTGTAGTACGTGGGCCTCTCACTGTTGTGGCCTCTCCCATTGCGGAGCACAGGCTCCAGACGTGCAGGCTTAGCAGCCATGGCTCACGGGCCCAGCTGCTCCGCGGCATATGGGATCTTCCCGGACCGGGGCACAAACCCGTGTCTCCTGCATTGGCAGGCAGACTGTCAACCACTGCGCCACCAGGGAAGCCCTAAGTATTGTTTTAAAGAGAGGTTTTGGACCAGATTTTCATTTTCCTGCTATATGTATTGGACTATGCAGATTTCTACCTCATCTTGAGTCAATTTTAAAGAAAATACTTTCTGTATATAATATTACTGATATTTTTAAACTCTCCATAAATATATGTGTGCTACCTTATTAGTGCTGTCATATTTCTCACCTTTACATTGATCAAATTTATAAGTCTAGTTTAGATCAGTGTTTTTTCCACAAAAATAAATTAAGGAGGTTTTATTGCTTCTTCCATTGATTTCCAATTTTAACTGCATGAAATGTTTTCTTCTGTAGTTAGGTTAATTTGTTCTTTTTCTGGTTTTTTAGGTTTGATTACATCATCAGTTTTATCAAGTGTCCACTATGTGACAGACACTGTTTCAGAACTAGGATTATAATAGTGTAGTCACGTGGGGCAATGATGTTAATAGTTGAATGATGATGCAAAAAAAGTTCTGGCC